ACTGACACTACTACTACTACTCTACTACTACTAAACTCTACTACTACTCTTACTACTAACTACTACTAACTACTATAGGTGCCATCATTTAGTTTCTAAACCATTACATTTGAGATAAGATGTCCATTGTTAGAAATAAAAATATTCAAGCATTCACATAAATTGTACCTAATGTCATTTTAGTATTATCAGAGTGTTATAATGATTCCACATTTTATACAGTGGCATGACCATCAATCAAGACTTTTTCTTTGGAGATGGGGAAATCAATCAAATGCCTTTCGACTATGACAACCTGAATAACTTTGATACAAGTCAAGACTGGACTCTGCCCAATGAGGCATTCCAGCCTCGCCATGAGATCCTCTATCCATCTGCCATGCCGCCACAAGAGTACCATTCCAAATGCTCCCCAAGAGAAATCCAGGAGTCAGGTAGGCTATGTTTATTTTCTGTTTCTTGCTTTTCAAAATATTTTATGAGTTTGAGCCATGAAGTATTTTTTTAGGTGCTGATTAAGAATTAACTGAAATGAGGTTTATTGAAATACTAGTATTTGTATATGCTCACAATTTCAAGGGCTAGAAGTGTTTGAAATCAGTGTATTATCTTTAATTAAAAGTATAAAAGCTTTACAAATAAATTGAGTATTCATGCTCTCTATTTCATGATAGGTACTGCAACAGGATACATTGTTGAACCACAATCACTCCTAAGTGAGGTGAAAGCACTAGGAACTCCAGCATGGGAATGCTCTGATCTTGTGGTGTGAAGATGCTTTACCATTATGCCAGTAATGGGGATGTCCAAATGTCTGTTACCTGTGTCATTGTGCTTGGTGACAGGCTGAAGGTGAGCTATATTTCTGTGCAGCTTTATTTCAGTTGAAATTTGATATAATTTTTGAAGAATCCATAGATTTTTTTATTATTATTATTGTTATTATTAATTCAGAGTTGTAGAGCTTTGGTTACACTAACGTTGTACAATATGGCAAAGAAGTATGAAAATCATTCTGACTGAATTCGTATCCTGTTCACCGACTTTGTTCATAAATTCTGGTATAATCAAATGGATTTTATATATAA